ACAGAGATGAGGTAGTGAGGCCTTTGCGTTAGAACAGATGTACACAATTATTTGTAAATAAGGTCTGCTTCCTCTCATTTGATAAGGTGAACTGAGAATCAAGGGACTTAGCGATTGTCACCATTTGGGGGAGGGGGTGGGACAAGGACAAATAAAAATGCCGTAAAACTTTCTCACAGTTTTGAAAGTAGCTTTTTCTTGATTGGCCATTTGGTTGATTGCTATAAACCTTTGATTGTTTTCCAGAGCCCCTACAGAGTTGACTCAGACAGCTTCAGGTTGTTTTACTGATGTTTCTGTGGGGGAATGAGAGCTTAGAGCTTCATAGTTTGCCCTTTTCCTGTTGTCACTCTCTCCTTTTAAATAAACTGAAAGCTATGGTTTTTAATTTTTTACAGGTTAACCAGAAGGGATCAGAGAAGCCACTTGAACAGAAATTTGCAACAATGGTGTCTTCCTTGGGAAGTGGAATGATCAGGTACCTCACTAGAAATCTGTTACAAGTCTTTTCAGATCAGATGTATACTTATATATATGCATGAGTACATAGAGCTCGCTAGACATATTATAGTTCACCTTACATTTTTTTTCTATGCTAGATTAGAGTTGTTCTCTGGCATAATTTATGTTGTAGAATAACTTCTTTACAGTCAAGCTTTAATTTGAGTTTTGTCCCTGATTAAAATCCTCTCGTTGAGGCTTTATGTCCCTAGGAGGCTTTGTGAGGCTGTGGCCGTTAGGTCATGAATTTTGGTCCTTGTGATTGTTTGGTGTGGTGTCTGTGGTCCTGACCATCACGTGAGCTGGTGCAGTTTAGCTATGCATGGTGGCCTCCTCTGGAGCAGTAGCTTTGCCTCTCCTGTAAGTCACCAGGCAACAGTTGCAAACTCTCTGTAGCCTTGTAAAAAGATGGGATCCTAAAACATCAGTTGCCCTGTGGAAAGGTGCATGGTAATGAGTCAGGCCCACCTGCAGCAGGAAACTGGGGTGGAAGGTAGGGGTGTACTATGGTAAAAAGTGGTTATGAGCATTTGGGGAAAACTTTCCAAAAAAATGGTAATGGGTTATTTGGGGGGAAATTATTTTAACCTGTGGAAAATTTCAAACATACACAAAGATAGAATAATATAACAAATCTTCGGGGAAGTATTTAAGTCTTTCTTATCCAATTCAAAAGCTCTAGCAAATTCATCAGATCCTCACTCCATCCATACTTCTGCCTTCTCACTGTGGAACTTGTTCATACACATTCAGGGTGACTCAGAGAAGGATTCCTACCCAGAGTGTACCTCAGAACCCTTGGAGAAATTACTTTGGATAAAAAAAATCAGAATCTCTGGGGTTGGAATA